TGCAATGAGGTATAAGACCAAAAGGCTTACCAAATTATTATTCGTATTATAAAATTCCAAAACCTTGATAACAATGATCTCATTCAAACGAATGCACAATGTCCTAAAAAATATTATCTCTCCCATATGTACTTTTTTAGGCATTTTCTATGGTGATTTAATGAGTAAATTTTGATTTAAACTCACTGATTTTGTATCTAGCACTGTGAAACAGAGGGCTTCATTCCCAAATTCTATTTTGGGATCTAATCACAAACTTTGGCATTATTTTAGACATCAAAGAAAAATATTGGTGTTTATTCATGATAAGGGTTTGATTTAAACTGTGATAATCTGAAATCACTTAATTTAGTTTTAACGAAACCCAAAATTTCCTCTCCCATATGTAGTTTTCTCTTCCATTTTCTGTGACTGTGATTTCTACTTCCGTTTTTGGTGATTTATTAGGGAAAAACGTAGGGTTTTATTAGAACTCTTCAATTTGGGATCTACTAAAAAAGTTTGAGTTGGTTTTTTTTTTTTAAATGGGTTTTATTCTTGATTTGGGATCATTGTTTATTCAAAGATTGTGGCTTCGTATTTGAGCAAAGAAAATAATACAAATGAGGTAGATGCATGCGATTTCAACAGGAAAAAATGAGTGATTCAAAAAATAAAAGTTTTCCAATCAAAATTAGGGTTTATATAGTGATTTATAGACTCTAAATCAAATAAAATTGTATTTACTCGCCGATTTCGGTGCCCTAATCCTGAGTCCAATGTTTCTCAATGTGTTGCTTGAGATGCCAATAGCCACAGCTACTTAGAGACGAGGGCAAGCCACAACTACTCAGATATTAGAGCAAGCTACATCTACTTAGAGATGAAGGCGAGCGAGAGAGGGGGAGCTTCTCAGAGATGAGGGCAAGCGAGAGAGGGGGAGCTTCGCAGAGAAAACCTTTGATTCCAGAGACAGGGAGCACGCAAGGGGAAAGGGGTATGGCTTATATTAGGTGAGGTTTGAAGCTTTTCAACGAATGGCTCCTTCACGCGCGGGGGTTTTAAAAATAAATCACGGCCTTATGTGTTGAATATTAATTTAACGCACGGTGGATATTGGGGGGCGAAAATACTGTTCCTTAACGCTATAGGCGTT